AGCTACAGAGTGGTAGACAGGACATCTCCCATGGGTTCCATCCTGTTGTACTTAACCATGTGGTGGTGACCAGTGGTATTTTCAGTATGCATCAGAAATGGGGATAAGTGCCACTGACATTGCTATTTGCACTCTAGACTTATACATACAGCTGAGGATATAATTATAGATCAAATTCTTTTCTAAAATTGTTCAACTTTAATTTATCAAAGCAGACATTTCCACTCCCTCTAATCGTCTTGTCTCACTGATGTTTCTCAAGCAGGTAATTTATGCTATTATTCACACGCTTAAAGACTTCCAGCGACTCAGTAAATATCTATTCCCTCAGTGATAAATTGTGCTAAGAAAAAAACAGCATGGCAATATCAAAAACAATTCCCAATATCATGATGTTTCATTAGAAAGAAATTGCTTCATTTTTTCTTTACAAAATAATCAAGAGACAACGAAGACAGTAAATATCCTAAGGAATGCAAAATGTAGAACTGAGAACTGACGCAGCCTGGTATATTTTGGTTAAAAAGTTATGATGGAAATGTGAACTGGAAGAGACATATTCACTGGAAGAAATTCACAGATGAACAGTGATTGCTCCTAAAGACTTCAGGCAGGTAGAAGGCAAAAGTAGGAGGACACATTTACAGAACGATACATAGGATGAAGTGGGAAATTATAGAGCAAATAAAGCAGATCCTCTTTGTCCCACATCTAAAGCATCAAACCCTGTGAAATTACAGCTAATAGCCATGAAGTCCAGCAAATGAGTTCCATATATAGAATAGAAAAAAGATTTGCCAACCTTTACAAGAATCCACATCACAAAATTGGCCACAAACTTATCGGAAGGAAACTTAATCCATTAAACAGAGTTGCAGCAAACAACATTTAGGAGGAAAAGTATAGAACTCCGCTGTTCTCCCAGGCCAGTCCTCAGCACTATAAAACGTTATGCCAAGAAAGAAACAATCCATGCTGGGAATCCCACTAATCTCCATCGGAACATATGTAACTCCCATTGCATATGCACGTTGCAGGGAGAATGTTCTTGCTAACTTTCAGACATAGACTTGAGTCCCCAGATGGACTTGATAAATGTAATAGCAGCTGAGCTCAAATAGTTTTGAGGTGGTGAAGGCATCTCCTACTTAGCTAAAATAAATATCCAAAACCTAAAGGTCAGGACCACATCAAACACCGATAGCAAATATATTCTTGGAGCAGCGGGCAAGAAGTGCAGCACCACTGCAATAGAACAAACTGGAGAGAAACTTCTGCACATCCATTCCCAGATCTGCAAGGTTTCAAAATGCCAGCAGTGAAAACATCATCAAAATTAACATGCCAGATTAAATTTTCTGGAGATCAGGAAACGCTAAAATATGCTGCACTAGAAGCAGTAAATACAAATAAATAATACAAGTAGTAAATATGAGGGAGCTAAAGCCAGTATTTCTCAACTTTCATTTGAAGGACCACCTAAGCTTTTGAAAGGAAACCACAGACCATCTTAAGAAGTATTGTCATGTTGCTTCTTATTTCTAAGCAAAATTAGGCCCCGTTTTGAATGTTCAATTATTACTCTCTCTATTTTTAACTTGTGGTTATATATGAGCCTACAAATTTCCTGTAAGAGTTTTTTTCTTGACATCATAGTCAAGTTATAATGCCTTATGGACCACAGCACACAAAGAATGCTGCCTTAGACAAAGAGAGGCCATAAACTTTATGATAAACTTTGTGTGCAATTGCTATGGATGACAACATTCAGCATTTTTTTAATAACAGCTTTTAAAAACATCTATAGAAATGCAATAAGCCTAGTGTTTATGTAAGCAGTAACAGCAAGACTGAAGCACAACTAGGACAGGGGAAATACATTATTTTTACTTCCTACACAAAAGGAATGTCAGAATATTGTATATACAATATGTAGCATATGAATTGTACCTTCATTATTTTCAACTGAACCATAAGGCTATGTATGTGTATCTTTTTCCTCCTCAGTCCTTAGGACTTTGAGGTTGCCACTGCTGCTGCCATTTGAAATACAAATGCTATTTCAGATCTAGGATCTCAGTCCCTTGTTGGAGGAAGTATTTTGGAAGCTTCCAGCACACTTACCTGGCAGGGATATTCTTAATCAAAAATAAGGCTGACAGGTAACAAGTGTGTGGGGAATTGAAAATTCTTTCAGCGCCTGGAGAACTTTACATTTCCCACCTCTAGTTCTTATATTGCAGTTCCCCATGCTAGTGTTGCAACACATCTGAGGAAGGGAAATGATGCTATTTTTGTGTAGAAATCTGCTTCCTTCTAACTTTCAGCTTCACATTTCTCTGAAGAAAGAATGGCTCACGTGATTTGATTCTACAGGCAGCTGAGAGTAAAATCTTTTCTGCCGTGCTTCATTGTGAATGACAATGCTTATAATATCTCTGTAAGATATAATTTTTTCATGTCAATAGAAAGTTGATATTCATAATCTAAGCAATAATTATCCTTTGTAAGTGCCCTTGTTTTTGGCTGCCACTCTCATTACGGCTGTTTCAATTCACAATCTTGTCTGTAGAGATAAAAAATGCAGCTATTTACTCCAATGGAGAGAGGAGAAAAGAGATTTTTGTTGTACAGAAAAAAAATGTAAAGAGCTGGGGGGGGTTAATACTATTAGCCTAGTGCTTGAGGTTTTTCCTCTCTTTGAATTTATTCCCATTGTTCTGAAAAAAAATAAATGTATTTGCAACAAAGGGGGATATTCTAGCTCCTCCATAAATCATTTAATTTCTTTGTTGCACTTTTTGTGGTTAAATTGTGGAGGGTAGGCTGTATAACTAGGCTGTATAACTACCTCTCTGACTAGATTTCTTTACTGAAGGTAGTTTACCTGCTTGGAGAAAGGCAATTAACTTTGATTTATAATCCCTAATTAAAAGGCATGGCATCATTATTCTTTATGTTTGTAAGAACATATCCATACAGAATATGGGGCAGGAGGTGGGAAGGGATTTCCTTTTAACTGCTATCGAACAACTGACCTAAAGCCCGAGGACTCTAACTTGATATTTTTAGCATTACACATGCACGGAGCTTTGTCTTGTCTTCTTACATTGTTACACTCATGGCTCTAGGGAAAGCACACTCTGCTTATTATCCGGCTGCTAAGACCTACCCGCAGCTACACATTATTTGCAAGCAGGCTTAACTCCTGCTTTTCTATCTTTTTTATTTATTGCCATGACTTATTGGAAAGTGGGCTTTTACACCCACTCAGAATACCTGCACAAAGTAAAAGCTGTCTCAATCCAGCCAACATGATAGGCGAGCGGACCCTACTGCAAGAAGTGGCCTTCTGCTGACCTACAACAGAAGATCCCACAGCCAGACGTGTCTTTCATACCCCTGTCTCTCCCCAGCAGGCAGCTTCCAAGGATGCTGTCACAACGGATTTGGCAAACCTTCGAATTCTCCGTTGTTTGTCCTTTGTTAGAAAAGTAAAAGCTCGAAAAGAAACACAAAATTTGTACTGTGTACACAGAGAAAAAAAAATAATCTTACCTTTCGTCCATCATACAGATTGCTCTGCAAAAGTTCACTTAGTAGAAACAAAGCTTCCAAGGCAAGGTGTCCTGATCAGTCACCTCTCTAAGATTAACCGCAAGTACATCTCCTGCTGTTTCTCTGATACGAAACCCACCATAAACCACCTTCTTTTCCTGTTAGTATATCTCAAATGGCAGATGAGGGGAAAACTTACCAGAAACATGTGAAAAAGTAAACAGTTTGAATATCACAATTCTTGGATAGGCCATATTGGTAGCTCCTCACAAAAAGGCAACTACCTCTTCTCGGAGTGCTTAAACAGGTCCCGTTCCAGAGCAGAGGTAACCATCTATAAAGATGGAGCAATTGAGATAATTAGTGAAACAGTACTCAAATGAAGTGATAAGGTCAGAAATGAAGCTTATCTTCAATGCAGAAATGCATCATATTTAATTTCTTTATATAATGAACATAATTCACAAATTGGATATTTATATTCAGTACCCGTGTTTCAAAACAAGAACTGTTTTTCCAAAAAGGCAATGCTCCTGAGGTTTTCTTCACCCTCAACTTGGTAGGAGGAAGGGGTGTGGAGATGTCTGAAATAAATAGTCCATTAAAAAACCTGCAAACTACTTTCTTCCCCTGGGAAGTGCCAGCACCACACTCAGACTCCGGATCAGCCTCCAAATTTTATTTACTTCTCCTGGGCAAAGCAATTTCCCCTGATTACAACAAAGATTCCAGCATCTGCCCCCAAACCCTTACTATTTTAGCTCTTTCTCTCCGCTGAGCCACCTTCCAGCAACCAAATAGCTGCTCAGTGATCTGTCCCTTTGGTGGGCTAGTTATTAGAAAAGTTATTAGAAAGGCTGTAATGTGGGAGATTTGCCCAGCAAAACTTCCTCTGCCTCGTCCGATTCTGATTTGCACCCGATGCTCCTACTGCTGTTGATTAACTGAGCTTTTTTCTGGTCGCAGCCACTTGTTGTTCATCACTGTAACTGTACGTTTCAGTCTCCTGAGGGAAAATAACTGGACAGCGCGGTGCCGTGTGTCACGGCTTGTCCACACGCCACGCTCAGCAAAACTCAGCCGAATTATCCTTTCAAGTGGATTAGTCGAGCCACGTTAAAAACCTGGAATAAATCCCACCTGAATTTGGTTTAGTTTAATTTGTTGCAGAAATGAATTAAGCAAAATTAAATTATGCCACTTTTTTTTTTTTTTTTTTTTAATATGTGGCTTCACAGGGCTGTAATATGGTTTATCTAATATATATTAAGTTTATACGCCTGCTAACCTGCACAGGGAAACCTTTACAATCCAAGAATTAGCGTCCAAGTCAATTTTCCTATACATACAAGTTTGGGAACAGGTTGATTTGCTTGATGAAACGAATCAGAGCAGTCAAAGTACCATTCTCAGTTCTCCATCCATAAGCTGCTCCCTGGACCCTCTGTACGGCTGTACCGGGGACTGAACTCCCAAATTCTTCATGCCTGTCTTCAACCTCCACCTTCTGAGATGCTCTTCTCCTGGAAAGAGACAAAAATCAAAATAAACAAGCTTCAGAAATGAGAGAAGATTGCTGGCACAAACTAAAGGTGTGGAATGTAGCCAGAAAATAGACACAGGTAAGAGAAACACTCTGTCATTTCAACAGAAAGCAAAAACATCCTCTCTGTGCTATTTTATTTAGCACTGAACTAACCATAGGGTACACTGTGGTGAAGGAAGACAGGGGATAGAGGAGAAACATTAGTTATCTTCATATGTATTTTTCAAGTTAACAAATATACTCCTCATGAAAACCATGAGGTGGCCTGGGAAGAGCTCCAACAAGCAGCAGGCAGGGAGCCAGCTTTGGCTTGAGACACTGAAATGAGGAGAAAAAAAAAAAAAAAAAAAAAAAGAAAAAAAAAAAAAAAAAAAGAGCCCTCAGCTGAGAAGAATCTCTAATGTACTTGAGAGCAATGAAGCAATGATGTCAATCCCCAAGTTCATTACGGGCAAGAACAAGTCCCCAACTGGTGAGAAGGGCTCAGAGGCAAAACATCTTTTCCAATGACAGTCATCAAAAGCCAAAAGCATCCTTTCTTGTGACCCCAATGTTTTCTGAAGAAAAGGTGCTGGGCTGCAGGGGGAGCTGTACACCCATCATTTTGGTGCAGCAGTTGATGAGGGAAGACGTTCCTCCAAACGACAGTGACATCTCAGAGATGCACTCTCTATAGGGGCAGCAAGCAACGCACAGACTCCATAGGGCTCGGTGGAACCTTCCATATAGCTGGCTATATTTCTGACTGCATTTAGCCTTTAGGTTTTCCAGCAGTTCTCTGCTTGCTGTGTTGAAACTCTGCTCCCTGACACTACGGTTTTGTCTCATATGCAGGTACTGTCTAATTCAAACTGATGCAGGACTTCCATTCTCATTTACCACAGAAAATCTGTCCTTCCAAGGTGAAGAGCTGAGCACTGAAAACAACAGGGTTTAAAAAAGCTTATTAACTAATGACTACACCTTCTTCCAAAATTGCAACAAATGCACAGGGTTTAAAAAAGCTTATTAGCTAATGGCTACACCTTCTTCCAAAATTGCAACAAATGCCTCCATCAGCACAAAGAATGCCCAGACAACTATCTACTAGATTTGCCATCAGTACCAAGGAGATAAAAATTCTAAAGAATGCTTTAGGGCCAATCACTGCAAAAGAAGTTTAATTTTATAGCACTTACATGGCCAACATATGTCTGGTAAGTAATGTTACAACAGCAGTGCATGAATATTACACATATTTGGAACCTGAAAAGGTTTCACAATGACCTGTAAGCCTGCAGAACATGCAGTGTACCTGCTAATTTTGTTAATCTAAATTGATGCTTGATTTAAATAAAAATGGAGCAGAGAAGCCAGCTTACAAAAGGCAGCATGTATTCCATTTAGTAGATAATTAAGCAGACTGGATGTATTTGAGTCCCTAAATTCTGATGCAAATATGCTTTTCCTGCAGTACACAAGGAATGTAAGGTAGGATGTAAGCTATAGGAGGAATATAAAATATGAAAAGGAAGTAGAAACAACCATTATTGTTATTCCTATCTAAATTCACGGTGATTTATGACTTAGATATATTCATCCAAAGAAAAAGACTGGCTTGTTAGCAGCGGATGCTATTTCAGGTGATCAGCGCTACAGCCACAATACTAATATGCAAATGCTTGGATATGGCAGTGATGATAACTCATATAAAAACCTGGTTGCAACAACATTCATCACAGTGAGTAGTCCTGACAAAACCTCTGAAATCCTTTGCTTCAGCTGAGAAAAAAAACTTTGCTCTTTCCTGTGCTATGCTAAAGCACAAAAACAGCAGTTTAACCATATTTTTTTAACCAAATGCTGCTAGACATGAGAGGTAATAATTTAGCCATTTTCTGACAATCTGCTTTGAGCCAGGCCTAACAGGAGCCTGAAAGCAATTGTGTGATTATATCAGGAAAAACACTTGAGTAAATACTCTAGAAAAATTATTAATGGAGTAGAAGAGGCATTACATCTGGACTGTCTCTGAAAGCTTATTTGTCAAGATCTCTGCCTTGCCCAGTTGTTCTTTAAAGTCACTCAGCAAGACTCTGTTTTGACCAGAGATTGCAAAAGACTAATTTACAGACCATTTTTTCCCTTTCATCTCCAAAGCAATTTTCCAGGTTAGTTTAGTCCCAGTACTGTTAAAATAATTCATTTTGAGAACAGATGATGCCAGAACGTGCAAAGAAACTGACTATTAAACAGAAACGTGGATCAACATGAGCAAATAAAGCAATTTTAAAAAGGAATTAGTAGTGCAAACATATGACATACCCATTTAAATATGAGACCATAGACATAAATTTTAGCATGGTCACATGCATGTGGTGAAAGGTATACACACAGACAAAGAAACATAAATACTTACTCACCTCCATCAATGAATCCCTTCTAGAAGCCAGTGAGTAAAAATCTGTGAGGGTATCTCAGTCTCAAATTTGGTTGCTTGATGGAAGTACCACCTCTTTGGTCTGTACACACTTGGGCATATCGGTCATTATGGTACAGAGCTCCAGAAACTACTTCTTCTCCAGAGCTTATTTCTAGTTCAAAAAGAGACAGAGAAGCTACTTTGGTTTGCTGACTATTAGCCTCAAAGATACCATCTTGAGCTTCTTCATCATGCCTTGGGTATGGGGAAGAAGAATATCTTACAGCCCAAACACAAAATCAGATTTTATATGTTCCAGTTAACTGAGAGCAACAGCAACACAAGTTGGTGCTATACTGTGTTTCTTCAAGAGAAAGCTAGTTGTTTTGAATAAGATTTCCAATAGTTTGCAGCAACAAAGCATAAAAATAGCATATGTAGCACATACTCAGTATGAGTTGATCAATGCTGCTCTGATAAGTGAAGGGCCATATTCTTACATGACTCTGCCAGAAACCAACTGAAAAATTAGCACAAAAAAGAAAGTACTGCCTTACCATTTGAGAAAGTTCAAAGGCCGTTCCTATTTCTCAGGTATTTCAAAAGCTACAGAAAAAAAAAAAATGTAAAAAAAAAAAAAGAAAAGAAAAGAAAAATGTTTTAGTTAGCATGAGTAATGAGACTTTTTTTGTTGTTTTTATAGGTAGACCATATATTTCTACCAAAAATCCTAGATATTTTCAGGAGTAGTTATTAGCACAACAGCGTGGAAGAAATACGTGGGGAAGTATTTTAAGGTTGTCCTGTTTGAAGTTGAGTGAGAAGTAATATCCCAGTTTGCCTATCAACTTCAATCAGCTTCTGTCTAGGCACACGCATTGTGCTTAGCACCAGAGTATCTTGGCACTTATTCCAGCCATATGCCCATGATGTTCTCACAACTTTGCATACAAATGCGGTAATTTCATGCACAATTTATGAACTTGCATTTACCAGTGTGAGCCGGCAACGCTCCCTTTATTAAAGCAGGGCAGAAGCACTGCCTTGTGCATCCATGTGCATCTACCTTCCTTTCACCATTTGTCCATACCTGTACCGTGGGGAGAAGGTGGTTGTCCACAATTATACCTCATTTTAGCCAGAAAAATCCCTGCTTACATGCTAATCCTGCTCTCTGTGAGAATGTGGACAGTGGGAGCAGTAGAGAAGGGGGACAAATAGAAACCAAGCTAAAAGAAGAGAGTTTATTTTATTTATCTTCTAAACACATTCCAGACATTGCTCCATTGTTAGCAGATACATGCTGTCCAAGTATCACAGAATCACATGGGGTTGGATGAAGAGAGTTTCTTTTATTTCTCTTCTAAACACATTCCATACGTTGCTCCACTGTTGGCAGATACATCCAAGTATCACAGAATCACATGGGGTTGGAAGGGACCTCTGGAGATCATTTAGTCCAACGCCCCTGCCAAAGCAGGTCCACCCAGAGCAGGTTGCACAGGAACATATCCAGGCAGGTTTTGAATGTCCCCAGAGAAGGAGACTCTCTGGCATACCCACCCGTTACTTCTCTGAGCCCAGCTCTTTCCATACCAACCACAGTCTTTAAAGCTGAAGAAAGCTTGTTCTCCCTCAGGGCACAACACCTCACCCTTTGTACAGTAGGAATTGGTTTCAGTTGCCTCAAAAACATGCACGTTAGTTGCACAGGAACATATCCAAGTGAGTTTTGAATGTCCCCAGAGAATGAGACTCTCTGGCATACCCACCCATTACTTCTCTGAGCCCAGCCCAACCATAGTCTTTAAAGCTGAACAAAGTCCTGTTCTCCCTCAGGGCACAACACCACACCCTTTGTACAGTAGGAAGTGGTTTCAGTTGCCTCAAAAACATGCACGTTGCCAATTAACATTTCTAGTCTTCTGCCAGGCCTCCTCACACCTCCAGCAGTAACTCCGGATCTTACTTAGAATCATAGAATGGTTAGACTTGGAAGGGACCTTATTGCCAATTAACATTTCTAGTCTTCTGCCAGGCCTCCTCACACCTCCAGCAGTGGCTCCAGATCTTACTTGCCATTGCAAAGCTTTCCAAAGCTGGAGACTTGTCACCTCTTTGCCTGGAAGTGACAAAAACCCAACTAACCAACCACATACACACTTAACACAACTGTGCCAGCCTGGTGAGCAGTTCCTCCTTGCTGCAAGATCCATATCACAAGTCAACTGCTGACCCCGTATTGGACAAAATCAGGGAAGGTTACAACCATGTCCTGCCTGTCCCCCTGGCGAGTCACAAATCAGGGAATGGGGCTTTGAGCCTTGTGGCTAATTTACTGCCAAGGAGGTCAAAGTAGGTCCCAGAGACTGCTCTTTCACTTGTCATTGCAAAGCTTTCCAAAGCTGGAGAGTTGTCACCTCTTTGCCTGGAAGTGACAAAAACCCAACTAACCAACCACATACACACTTAACACAACTGTGCCAGCCTGGTGAGCAGTCCCTCCTTGCTGCAAGATCCATATCCCAAGTCAACTGCTGACCCTCTATTGGGTGAAATCAGGGCACGTTACAACCATGTCCTGCCTGTCCCCCCTGGTGAGTCACAAATCAGGGAATGGGGCTTTGAGCCTTGTGGCTAATTTACTGCCAAGGAGGTCAAAGTAGGTCCCAGAGACTGCTCTTTTATTAGCATTCCAGACCTTGCCATACTGCCATTTACCGTGGCTTGGCAGGTGCTCTGCAGCTGCTGCTGCTCCACATCAGGAAGCAAATATTCTGCCTTTTGTGCCCCAAACGAAGAAAATGTAGCCTATGAGACATAATAAGAGATTCCCCATAGCCTCTGCAAAAACTCAGAATGCCGTAACGGTACAGCAGTTAACACATGGGGAGAGAGAAAGAGCACTGAAAAAAAAAAGAGTCCATGCATCTACTATATTTCTGAAAAATGATGGCTTTTCCACAAGAAGTCTGGAAACAAGTGCCTTAACTGACTGCATGATGCCTCTTCACACAGACAAGGCCCATGTGTCCGAGGGATGACACTAAACCCAAAAACGTACGAGCACTCTCCTTGGGCCACAGAGCAATAGTGTCTCCACGCTAGAGCTACTGTCACTATGAAGACTAGGTGCCGGGTGTTAATTATATTCACAGGAGAAACAGAAGTAAAGGCTGTGGCACAGCAGCATAATAGCATTGAGACTGTCATTTCCCAGTCCAAACTCCTCTAATTAAGTCCCAGCTGAGGTCTCCTATTCAAGTCTTGAGTTCAAAGGAGGAGGGGAAAATAATAAATAAATAAATAAATCCACAAAGTTTAATTCCTCTCCAAGTAAGGAAGGCCAGATGTTTGGAGTGACATGTGCATATTTTTATTTCAGTTTGAGGAGGTTGGTTAGTTGTTTTTTGTCTTGTAATTGTCCACTGTCTTATTTTGAAATTAATTGACAGCATTCACACTGTAGAACCTACCTGACTCTGAAGTCCTCCAGGTACTTTTCAGGCTTTCTTTGCACATCTCTGCACAGGAAAAATTCTGCCATAATGCTGCTCTACGATGACACCTAATATTCAAAAAATATCCTATCTCAGTTCCGACATTGGGACTTATATAGTTACTTATACTGCCAGTTTCCAGAGCGGCGTACATCAAATCACAAACAATTCTACACGTCTTTTTTCTCTCTCACTTTTTTTAATTGTACAAATGATCTACAAATTTCTGCTGCTTGATACTTTTAATGAAACTTTAGTCCCTGTAAAAAAGAAAAAAAAAAGGGGGGGGGGGGCCTCCAGGGAAAATCTGAGACAATTTTAAATCTACCTTCTCAATGAAATTTCAGACTGAAATTTTCAACCTGCTTCCATTTTCTTTTCTTTAAGAAGTTAGCAATCCTACTCCTCTTTATTCTTCCATTTGCCAATGGACTAGTTGAAAACAAACAAAAATATGGAGAAGAAATTACAGATGAGCGTATTTGAAAAGCAAGAAACCACAATGTTCAGAAGGGGAGACACTGCTTTTTCTTTTTAATATTTCCATTTTACTTCTGAATTCTCGAGTAGACAGTCCATTCATTGGTCTATCTTGCTGTTTGCTTCCTTTTTAAGTTAAAATAGTATTTTTATAGGTCTATATATTTAATTCTCCTGGGGTGGGGTTTTAGAAGAAATCATTAGTCAATGGTTTATACAATTGTAATTTCATTTTCCCAGGTTATTAAAAACTAATAGCATGCCATTTAATTAGACCTGAAGATGAGAATCCACTTAAACATTAGAAATAGACTTACAAACTGCCTATCTTCTTCCTCACTACCAAGCAAGACTTTATAATAAATCATTATTCCTCATAACTGAATTTAGTAATTACAAAGGACCTCATTCTTCATTATATTCACCATAACTTATGAAAATAGGTATAGCTATCTCATTTATTTGTATCAAGAGTACTATTAAATGTAGTCTTAATTTATCTGAGGAGGGTATGGAAAGAAGCCCTTAGAGGATATTATTGGTAATGGTGTGAAACAAAGCTTTTTGCTTATCCAAAGAAGGAGCCTTGGCAGGAGCCCACAGTATTAACTCTCACAGCACAGCACGGCGATGCTCTAGAGTCCTGAGCAAGGCAACAAGGTATGAGGTGAAAGAGCCGTTCTATGGCCACATCCTTTTCAAGTGCAGTTCCTGTGCCGAGCCTTGAACTTAGATGTCAATTACTGTCAGCTGGAACATAGACCTCTTTCCCTAAGGAAATGAACCGAGACCTCCAATTTATTTCACGTAGCGTATTTAAGAGCCATTGGATAATAATGGCCTTCAGTCACTGCCAACCCACGTTGAATTTAAAATAGTGACTTAGAGGGGAAAGGCTCTATGTCATAACCCCCCAGGCACACAATCCCCTCTATCATGCCATTTATTAGGCAGCTTGGCCCTGGCACCACATTTATTTATATCGTAATATTTCATGCTATATAGTCCAAGGTTAATAAAGCCTCATTAACAGCTGCTGGTAGACCTCGTAAAGCTCTCCAAGATTTCATTTTACAATAATGGCAAAGAATCTCACAATTTATATTTCCCCATCCTATCTCAAATGCCCTGCAGCAAAGGCTAAAATGTGGGAGAGAAGATGGAGAAAGAAAAAAAAAAAAAAAAGAAAAAGAAACCTATCTGATGAGGAAAAGCCAAAAGTAGCCGTGGTCTCCAGGCCACCATTAGCTACAGAACCATTTGTTGTGCATGAAAAGTTGGCTAAATGTGTCTTTCTTCTCTTACTCACTTAGAGATAACAGTGTACGGAGAAGAGAAAGTATAATCCTTCCAAAAACATAACAGGAAAAGAAAAAGTTATCAGTATAGTCTAAATCTTCACTTAAGAAATTCATATTTTTCTATAAAAGCATTAAGAAAACACTGTTCTGCAGAAATAGAAACACGGATGAGGAGAGGGCAGAGGAAAATATGCCTATGTAACAGGCAAATATGTTTTCCCCATGCATCAGACCATGCATTCTGTTGGTACGTCTAATACGGCTTCACGGAAAAAAATCTGGCTAACGATGACAGTGATTTTTAATGTTGTATCTTTCTTGCAAAAT